CGAGTACGCTTCTAGTATAATATAAATAAATAAGAGGAAAAACTTAAAAAATAATAATTAATAATTTAAATTAATTTAAATAAGAAAACAACAAAAAGTAAAAACAATTAAAAAAATGAATGATTGTATAGGCTTAGGGGTGCCCTTATTACATAGTAGGGGTGCCATTAGCCTTCTCATTCTAAATATTATTTGTTTATAATATAATCTATGTTATATTATAAAGCATTTGATAAAAAAAATTTAAAAACTATTTTTTATACATGAAATACTGTTTATTGATGCATATTATTTAAAATTTAAGATTACAAGTAAATTTTGTGTAAATACAACTTATTAAATCTTCATGTTTGAATTCTTATAACTAACTGCAGATAAAAATAATCTAGAGATTAAACATCTTATTTTAGATATAATTAGGATAATCATTGAATTCTAATAAAATACTTAATTATTATTTTTATAAAAAAATTATATTATTATCAAACCAAAAATAAAAAATAAATTAACGAAGTACACACAAAAATAAAAAGAAATCTATACTATATTATAAAACATTTGACAAAAACTTTTAAAAATCGGTTTTTGTGCACAAAGTACTGTTTATTGATGCATATTACTTAAAATTACTGATTACAAATAAATTGTACGTAAGTACAACTTATTAGCTTTATGTTTGAATTCGTCTAACTAACTGCAGAAAAACTTAATCAAATAGAGAATTAACATCTAATTTTAAATATAAAAAATCTAAAATATAATTATAATACTTATTGAGTTTCTAAAAAGTAATTGGCTATTATCTTCATGAAAAATTTATTATTAAACAAAAAAAGAATTAAAGAAATACCTCAAAAATGAGAAGTTTTAAATAGTTAATTTCGTATTAATATCAATATTTTTTTTTAATTTTGTATGATATTTTCATATTTATATTGTATTAAAAAATATAAACATTATTGTTTTCTCAAAACAATATAAAACCGTATTATAACATCAATCGAGACAAAAAAAATAGAATGGAACATTAAAATCGAGATGCATAAGTAGTTAGTTTGGTACTAGTATCAATATTTTTTTTAAATTCTCTATGATGTCGTCATATTTATATTTTAATAAAAATATTATCGCTTTCTTAGAACCATATAAAAACATATTATAACATTGACTGAGACAAAATAAAAAACGAAACATTAAAATCGAGATGTATCTCGTTGCATTATGCGAGTACCCTTCTAATATATATATATATATATATATATATATATATACTTGGGATCATGTGAGACCAATGGTTTTTCGTGAGACCCGTAAGACCAATTCTCAACCCTTGGATTAGATTTACAATCGTCAGATCTGAACATTTATAAACGCCACGAGACTATATATATATATATATATGTATATATATATGTATATATATATATATGTATATATATATAGAGAGAGAGAGAGAGGGGGGGGGGACGTTTCAAATGCAACCCATCACATTTGTACAACCAATACAACCCAATTAATTCAAATATTTATGAAAATGATGATAGTTCATTTATTATGATTTGAATATTTATGGAAAATGACTAGGGTTCATTAATTATGATCAATGATTTATATTATGAAACAATCAAAACTTTTATGAAATCATATATTTATCAAATTAAATGGACGGTTGAAATTGAGTTGTATTAATTGTATAAATGTAAATGGTTGCATAATAATTCGTCTCTCTCTCTCTCTCTCTCTATATATATATATATAATTGATTATGGTACTTATTTAAGAGAATTAACGAATAATTCTAGACTAATAATTTTATTAAATAATATCTTAAATATATTTTTTTTAAATGCTCAAAATGATATATTTGTCATTTATTATGTACATATTATATATGAAAATTCACTTATTTCTATTAAGATTATTTAATAAATTTAATTTAGGCATTTATTCATAGTTTTTTTTACTTTATTTATTATGTTTTATAACATTTAAAATAAATGTGATTTAATTTTTCATTAAAAATATTTATTTTTATTGGAATAATTTATTCAATAATTTTTTACAATTTTCGTCAAAAATCACATGTGATATCTACTTAATCAATTTTTTTCCTAAAAAAAAATCGTTAATTTTCGTTACCCTATCATTAGCTTATTCAAGAATTTTATACAAATTTCGTCAAAGATCACATGTGATATCCACGATTAATCAACTCTTTTCCCTAAAAAATAATCACTAATTTTCGTTAACGTATCACATATGATATTGATCATAGTAAAAAAAAATGTAAGGTATCTACAACATTACATGATATGTGTAAATTATGAATTACGTTTTAGAGTACATGTGATTTTATACAATTTAAATGTCTTTTGCTACACATTACATATGATTCTATTCTCATTATTTTTTTATTTTTCAATATTTAATTTGAATCAATGTTTTTCAAATTTTAAATCACACATGATTAGAAAAATAAACATTTAAAAAATTAATTGTGAATCACATTTAATTTGACGAAAATTATAATGTTTTCGAATATTGCTTTAAATAAAAAAAT